TGCCCAGCCCACTGCCCACCGAAGATGGTGTTCTCCTCGGTGTACTCGCCGCGGCAGTCCAGGCGCAGCAACGTGCCGTAGTTGAAGTCCTCCACCACCCCCTCGAAGCGGAGGCAGAATGGGCGCCACTTCTGGGGGGCACAGACACCCTCAGCACCCCCAGACCCCAGGAAAAAGGGGGGATCCGTGTGTGAACCCCCTGCTCCCCACCCACCTCCTTGGCAGGCTCTGATTTCAGCTCCTCCGGGTCCAGCACGTCGATTTTAAGGTCCCTGAAGGTCTTCCTGAACTCGTCGTAGATCTGGTCGTCCACTTTGGTGAGGTGCAGGAATTTGGGGTCCACGGAGGAGATGAGCTGCACAGGGAGGCTCAGGGATTCAGTGTGAGCCCCACACAGGAGACCCCCCAACACTCTGAGCCCCTCAGACTTACGTTGAAGTAAACCTGTGCGTGCTGATGAGCCTTCATGGCCCAGGCCAGTTCCACCCGGGGCTGCGGAGGAAGGACAAGTGTCAGCCAGGGATGTGACTCCTGGGGGGCAAACCTCCCCTTGGGGGGTTCCTCCTCCCCTTTGGGGGACCCTCTTCCCCTTTGAGGGTTGTTCTTCTCCCCTTGGGGGCGTCCTTTTTTTCTCCCCTTAGCAGTTTCTCTCCTCCCGTGGGGGTCCCTCATCCCCTTTGAGGGACTCTCTCCCCTCTCTTGGGCTTCTTCTCCTCCCTTTGGGGGGTCCCTCCTCCCCTTGAGAGACCCTCTCCCCTTTTGACCCTCTCCCCTTTTGGGGGTTCCTCTCCTCCCCTTAGCAGTTTCTCTCCTCCCTTGGGGGTCCCTCATCCCCTTTGAGGGACTCTCTCCCCTCTCTTGGGCTTCTTCTCCTCCCTTTGGGGGGTCCCTCCTCTCCTCCCCTTTGGGGGACCCTCTCCCCTTTTGAGGGTTGGTCTCCTCCCCTTTGGGGGACCCTCTCCCCTTTTGGGGGTTCCTCTCCTCCCCTTGGTGGCTCCTCTCCTCCCTTGGGGGGTCCCTCTTCCCCTTTGGGGGACTCTCTCCCCTCTCTTGGGCTTCTTCTCCTCCCCTTGGAGGGTCCCTCCTCCCCCTGAGAGACCCTCTCCCATTTTGAGGGTTCTCCTCCCCTTGGCAGATTCTCTCCTCTTCTTGGGGGATCCCTCATCCCGTCTGGGGGACTCTCTCCTCCCTTTGGGGGTCCCTCTCCTCCCCTTGGCAGTTCCTCTCTGCCCCTTTGGAGGGTCTTCTTTCTCCCCTTGTTGGGGTGTAGGGGAGAAGACTGGGACCTCCATCCCAGGACTGGGATATCCACTACCCCAGGACTGGGATCCTATCCAGAACTGGGACCCCCCCAGTATGAGGACCCTCTTTGTCTGGGAGCCCCCAATACTGGGACACCCCAAGGTTTGTACCCTCCATGGGGCTGGGATCCCACCTCCCCTCGTGTTGAGACCACCCTCAAAGCTGAGACCCCTCTCCAAGGACTGGGACCCCCCAAGAATGGGACCCTCAAAGCTGAGACCCCCAAAGCTGGAACCTGTTCCACCAGC